AAATTTAATTTATATATCTAGAAATTACTGGAGATATCTGTAAAATATTCCTTAACTAGTAAACTATAAAAAGTGGAAGGCAGAAGTGAGTACCGGGAAGGAGGAAGGAGAAGGCGAAGAGCAACTGATCTTAAAGGTTAGATAGGAAATACTGAAGAAAACAGTTGATATTGTAGGAATTAAGTACAATAATCCAATAATAATAATTATTGCAGAAGCAATAAAGAAAAAAATTAGACGTCCAAGGAGGAGCTGAATATGGAAGATAATTGAAAGAAAATGCAGCAAAATGTCATATTAAATGATCTAAAATTGAAGTCGAAAATGGATTGAGCTGAATGAACTAGGAAGAGTTATAGTAGTAGAAGAAGCTATAAGTGAAACAAGTATAAAGAAGGAGGATAAAGGAGAGTGCAAACAAGGAAGGAATTTTCAGAAGGAAGGAAGGAATGAATAATAATTAAGAACGAATGATAATAAAAGCGTCTTCAGCTTAAATTTAATTGTGGAACGATGAAAATAAATGAAATAATAATGGAAGGTAATTTGACCGGAAACAGTCGGAGAAAATAGAAAAAAGCCAAGCAGCTGCCTAGATCTATTTTTTTTAAACCTCCATTAAGCTTTGAAGATAAGTAGAGGCGATAGCAGGAAAGATCAGAATGTAAATACAAGAAGGAGGAAGAAAGAATGCAGAAACAGAAAAAGAGAATGGGAGTGAAGGAGCAGGAAGGAACTAAGAAGGAGATGGGAAGTAAAGAGTAGAACAGGTACAGAATAGGTAGGTTGTAATGGGCGAGCCAGAGGAAGAAAAGAGCAAGTGAATGATAGTAGAGAGAAGAGTAGAAAGTTTTTACTAGAAACAAAAAAGAGAGATAGCGATGAAGCAGCAGAAAGTAAAATATACATATAAGGAGGTGGAAGTGAGCAACGGGTTGCCCTACGATCGTTTCAGTGAAGGGAAAATCACAAAATAACGTAGAAGTTCAAAACTTTTCCTGGTGACCAACCGAGATCACAATAGACGAAGTAGATTTCTTCCAGTTTGTGATTTGGTTGTGGATCTAAATAGACGGAATACTATAGCTAAGGTCGATTTCTTCCAGTATGGAACTACGTTATGAATCAAAATAGATGAAATTTTTCCCCGCTTCTGGCTCAGTTAGATGAGGTAAATTTCCGTGAGTTGAGTTCCTTTCGCACCGAAGACAAATATCCTTTAGGTAGCTGCTATTCATTGTATACACATATACATACATATATCTCTGTCGTTAGATATATCTGGATACATATGTATGTATATGTATAGGAATAATACATATCTTTAGCGATATATTCGGAAACTTACATTACTTGCCATTTTGTTGAGTTGAGACTTGGGTTTTTCTATTCACACACACACATACACACGCGTGCTCGAGTTAGGGATATACCGCGATACGGTTCGAGTCTGTCGGATGTCGGCACTTGGCGCTGTGAGCGACGATTGCTAAATGATGTGGTTGGGGCTATGCGCTCGTCACTTTATATGGAGCGGGCGGGTGCCTAGAATTAGCATGGCCATGCCCACAGACACTGTCCGTTGTGGCACCCACACCCACACACATACACAGGGCGCAAACCGGTAACAAGTACAAGAGCAAGATACAAAAGTATCTCATAGATACGCGTTGACAATTGTGTGACAATTGCGTAGCAAACTGGTTTCATTTTTCGATAATTTTGTTTTTAGTTGATTTTTTTTTTTCTTTTTCTGTTTTCTTTTTGTTATTTTGTCTCTTGGCGGCTTTTGTTATGCGCTTCGGTCGCTCTGTTTCAAGTTCAGCGCTGCCGGCGCTTCCTTGTAGGCCTATTGACCATTATTCAATTAAGCCGATCATTAACGGTCAACAATGCCGACGCGTCGGCTCGCTCTGCATCCCTCAATCAACGCTTGGCCTGCCTTACATCACATTCCATCTATGCTATATGTATTTTTGCACTTGAGGAACTCGAACCCAGCCCACCACAGCCCAGGCCAATCTTTGGCTCTAGTTCAGCTTCAGTCTTGCCGTTAGCTGATTTGTTCGTCTGTCAACACCTTTGGCTCGTTTTTACCTGTACTTTGCTTCTCGTTTTGTATGTCAGCAGCATTTGCTTCATTTACTGCATGATTTTCAGTTTCAGTTTCAGTTTCAATTTGAGTTTCAGTTACAGTTTCAGTTTGTTTTTTTTTTTTTTTTTTTTTTTTTTTTAGGGAATGTTCATTTGCTCCATTTTCGTACTTTGTCCATGCCCCACATGTCAGCATTTTGTTTATTCACTTGTTAATTGTTGCATTGTCTGTGTCTTCACTTTTGGCTATGCCAAACGCAACGCCAAGCCACTCCATAAATATTGCTGCCAAATCAGCTCAAGTTTAATCCACTAGGTCAAAATAACTAAACACTCATGTCCATGCACTACACAATAATTAACTATTTATAAACTACATGGAAATCGAATTTTTTGAATTAACAATTAGTAAACAAAAATTGTATGTATTCAAATTTATAAGCTATAAGACAATTTTAATAAGGAAGGAAATTTTAATCAGGAAGGAAAGATTAAGACATAAAAAATCTATTTAAATATGAAAAAGAAGTAGGATTTATAACATATATTAAGATTAATTACAAAGTACAAATAATAATTATAAGTTTTTAGTAATTTACAAATATTTGCTTTGTATTTTAATATGAGAAACACCATAAATTCATTGAGATATTAAAATTATTATTCATTTTATA